ATTCTGGAAGGTATTCAGGGGAATATATCAAGACATGTCATTGTCAACATTATATGCGATGCTACCCAATACTTTCATTTTCAAGGGAATTGTCTTCCAGAAGTATTATGAAAGGTATTCAGTCCCGAATTGAACCAGATGCAGGACTGTGCTGTCTTGCATTAACTGAACACGAATGCCAGCGAAACCTCGTTGCACCTTAATCTTTAAAATTGGGAGTAATTTGGAAAAGAAATACACTGAACAATTAAATATATCTTATTAATCAAATTGTGCCACCATATAATGAAAATGAATCCCTACTGATGCCGATGTCTCGACAGAAATGTAAAACGAATGGTCATTGGAACAGATTGCTACAGTCGATTTTACGTGAAGGTTAGATTGTTGGGGATTACACTTACATTAATGGGGCAGGGTAAGAATGTGAGGTAAAATGAAGTTACGATCATGGTACGATTCCTTAGTGTTGGCGATTTAACCTGCAAATCAAGCAGTAACAGAATCTGTATTATTCAACCAGTGAGTTTTGTGTTGAAGCTTTCCGCTGCGTGGTGAGACAATGAACATGAGAACACCTGACAAAACTTGATCAAAGACCTTTTATTACAGGACGGAATAGCATCAACACTTTTGTACGACCATAAAGAAATGACTTATGAGGCATGGATTCTACCGCCAAAAATGCGAGGGAGTGGGTGATGGAGTGATGGAGTGAGTAGTGGAGTAAGTAAGGTGGGTCTACGGCATCACGCGTGGACGCTTTACCCTGTACACTACCCCCTCGGCCTCTTTCTGATGTAAACAGCTTGTAGCGAGTGAATTAGCTGGTGAGTTGTGTTTAAGGCCGCTTCGAATAGTATTCCAGTTGTCAGTTGTCGGATGAAGGTCCGAAGTGATGCAGGTCCCAGACATTGAATACTTTGATGAAACCCAAAAGGACCTTCTGGTTCTTACACACCAACAAACTGAAGGTTAATACAAGCGGGAAGCAATCATCTTATGGGTAAAAGCACACCCATCGCCCTAAACATAATTGGGTGATGAAGTCCCAGACATTGAAATGATGGAAACCCAAAAGGACTTCTGGTTCACAAACGAATCACGAATAGATACACCACTCTTAATACAAGCGGGAAGCAATCATCGTATGGGTAAAAGCACATAACCACAGACCCATCGCCCTAAGGATCGTCAAAGCACTTCTCTGTTTGGTATCACAGTGATGCAGGTCCCAGACATTGAATACTTTGATGAAACCCAAAAGGACTTTCTGGTTCTTACACACCAACAAACATAATTGGGTGAAGTCAATATCACAGGTTCACGAATAGATACACCACTCTTAATACAAGCGGGAAGCAATCATCGTATGGGTAAAAGCACATAACCACAGACCCATCGCCCTAAAGATCGTCAAAGCACTTCTCTGTTTGGTATCACATGTGTCATAAGTCTATATAAATCACCACACCGCATCGTGACAAGTACATCTACGCAAGTACAAAAGCCACAACCACATCGGCACCTGTGTCACCACAACGCCTACAGACGTCCCCACCTCGATTACAGACAGTCTGCCTACTACGCCAACACAGTGGCCCTCATCCCGCCTCCGCAAAGGCAATCTATGACAACCATCTGTTTCTAACACACCTTCACACATATCACTGTCACTATCGAGACATGTCCACAAAAGTCCCTACCATGCCTAGAGTTACATGTACCTATACATTTACTCGATTATCACATTAACCAAAATTCCAGACAGTGCGAGACAGTATATTTTGACTTGTGGATTTGTCAAATTGGCTGGAAAATAGTATCGTATAACCAGATGAACAAGCGATCCATGACATCCATCTGGAGTTATCAACGGTACTATGTCTACATGTAGATAGTTAAGCAGTTCAAGTTCACAACATATGGTGATTAGTCTGGGGATCATGATAGAAATAGAAACAGTTAATTGACTGGTATACTGTGGCTGATCATGACTAACATCCGCGCAAAGATAGCCTGTCCAGTGTCATGGTTATTGTGTGTAAAAATAGGCCTGCAGATCCATGTGAAATTTAATTATTGACTTGATCAGTTTATTCCCAAAGGAACACTTCTATTTTCGTACAATATTGCATATATCAATTTCGGGTTACGTCTCAAACTCTCCTGAGGACATGCCGCATTTGGAGGCAAGTTCCTGACCAATGTTTCTTTACTTTGTGAATGTTTGGTACAGTACGACATAACAAGTATGTTGCAGAGAAGTAAATGTGTTGTGGCAAATTTTGGGTAGATTGACATTATTGTCAAAATCAAACATGGTTTAATGAAAAATGTACCTTTGATGAGGTTGATAAGTTGTGACATCGTGTTTGTGAGGGTGATAGTAAAATCCGTTCATACATTAGACAGAACATACTGATATTTTTTTAAGGTTGGTACAGATAAGCCTAAGACATATGCATTAAGATTTACGGGGGAGAGCAAGATGGGACATGGGACGGTGACTTAAGTCATAAACGTTGAGAATATTTATAAAATGTACACACCAAGTGTGTACGGCTGATTAACGAAACATGCACAACGTTCATCCCGATCTTCCACGGAATACAGCGAGCACTATGCCGGACAAGCTGCAGCAGTGAAGATTATCCTTGAAGATCCAAGTTAGAATTGTTATAATTGGTCTTCAGCAACCCATGCTTGTGGTAACAATCGACTGACAAGATAGGGTGTTTCGTGTAATATAAATAAACGAACTGAGGGCCTCAAACCGTGGCCATGATGTGCTTCACACGCCACGATGATACATTGTTTCGTCAGGTTTTCGCTCTCACTTCAATTCTTGATGGACATTTAAGGTTCACGGGAGTACATTAATACATATCCTTTCGATCAAAAGATCACCCATTTCTTTGATTACCATCCGGATCATATTGGATTCGAACACTAACATCCTTCATCATGTCAGCACTGCCTGATTCAACATTTGAGATATTTTATACAACGCATTAGAAGTCTTGTAGAAAAATGATCGACGGCTGATAACGTCCTCTTTTTATCACAAAGATCATCTGTTTGTTAGCCTTGGTCTCCCAAAGATTCAACCTCTCTTAACAAGCGATCAAGGAATAACACATTCGTTTGAAAAACGGATTCAATTCGGTTTGACCATGTTGTTATGGATTAGTATAACCGACAGAAGGCACATGAAGTATTGTTTGCATGAAGTGAGCTCAAAGGGTGAGTTCTCAGAGATGAAGGAATTATGTCTCAGCAAACCAGGCAGACTGATTCCAGTCAATTTTCTCAACAAGAATGTGTCGAGGTTGCATCTTAAATGTGAGATCATGAGTGCAAGTAAGTGTGAGGAGTGAGGAAAATAATGACCATTTTGATACACTTACCTTGAGACATTTTCTTTCTTCGTTTGAAAATGGAACTGATTTGGCCTCGTGGAACGGCCGTGGGTGTACTGTTGTGGATCCTCTCGAATGGTCTGTAGCTATTTACCCTAAAATACAGACAAAGCAATAAGTCATGATAATGACCCACCACCTGAATCGTTATTCGAACCTAATGTAACTGCGTGTGAGAACTATTCATGTCGACACGTCAACTCACTCCCCAACTCGCAAGTGCATATACACGCAAGGTGTATCTCTGAATGTTTGTTTGTTGTTTAACACAGCACTCAGCCATAGTCCAGCTATATGGCGGCGGTCTACAAATCGATTGTATTGTATTTAAGACTTCGACATGGTTACAAGTTCGACTACCATTACATAACTCAACCATTACCGATAGATGTATTCATAAGCGATGACGTCAACATGCACAAGAAGAAAGTTTACACTATTTTTCATATACTTTGATCTACAAACCGAAATATGAGTCTCATTAACCTATTCAGACAATGACCTACTTTTCAGCCGATCCGAATTTTCTTGTGTGAAAGTGAAAATAGACATCACAAACAACGATGGTTACACAGAATTTCCGATTTCTTGTTTCATAAGAAAATGGTATTTACAAATAAATTTTAATTCTAAACTTTGATAACATCGTATTTCTATATTTTTTGACGAGGTGTAGGCAGCATGACCTTAACTAAGACATCACAGCCTGCCCCAGTTTGATGAGGTCGTAAAATGATTCACAATTCATCTGGCTCACTGGTTACACCAGTTATGTATTTTTTTTGCGCTTATTCAGTGTAATTCTGTAACGCACAATGTGATTGATATAATATCAAGTCCGTACCAGACCGCTCTGAGCACGCTGCACGACATATTTGCAAGGATTATAAGGAGCATAGTGTTGCAATATACAAGAGCTTAGATGTAGCAAATAATACTGATGAATATTTATGTATCCAATTAAATGAATTGGTCTCAAAATTCTGGACTGGTTATTGTACTAAGCTGCGCAATAGGACGGAACCCAGTCAACAGGAAACGAGACTGTTGTGTAATTAATGTTTTGACTTGACATAGAACGTAGTTCGACAAGGAATCATACAGAAAGAAATAGAATACAGTGGCATATTTATTAATGCAAAACTTATTACTTGTGAATTTCTTTTGAATTTTCATGGGGCGGTGGGGTAGCCTAGTGGTTAAAGCGTTGGCTCGCCACGCCGAAAACCTGGGTTCGATTCCCCACATGGGCCCATTTCTTGTGTTCCCCTCCGTGATATTGCTGCAATATTGCTAAATGCGCCGTAAAACCAAACTCACTCTTATGAATTTATGTGGAATGATGTACTTTCTCTTAAAATGATACGTTCAAAACGTTACATTTTCCCTACATTGACTAACTAACAGGTACAATAGTATACCTTTATGCTTACCCCAATTTGTTCCTGGTAAAATGTGATGGGACATGGATATTTCAGTTTTCCTTCTTTCTTAAAATATGTTGTGTGTATTTCTTTCATTCATATCACTGATTATAGTTTTCCTATAAGTTTAGACTGCAAGTGACAGATATATTGAAACTTATCTGCAACAGTATGAAACTCAGCGACTTTTCCTTGATATAAGTGATGAGTGAGTGAGTGAGTTTAGTTTTACGCCGCTTTTAACAAGGTGAGTCGAACCCGGGTCAGCGAGACGAGCGAACACTTTAACCACTAGCAGCTCTTTCATCTTTTCATTAATCTACAATGGTGTGACAAACGTAAGACATTAAGTTTTCATCAACGTGCTTGTAATTCACAGCTTATCATATTTTCAAATTATCAAACGAATGCAACTAAACGTGGCAAAATATCAAAATTATGTACAGAAACTCACTGTGGAAGTCTGTGCCAGTGGTAAAATCCAACGGTCTGAAGGTCAGATTGTTTCTCAACGAAATCGACAAAAGGCAGAAACAACTACCTGTATTTTCACTGTGCAAAACGTGCAGCACGTGTCACATACTTAACACGTGATTGTGTAACATGGGTACCGAACTTTACATTGCTGAAATGCCAGATGCATTCGACCGTCTGTCTTTGTTGCCTTTCTTTGTTGTTATCAAAACATCCTATTTTTTAATGATAATTAATATTATTATTCTACTTAAAATGGAATCATCTTTTCACTGTAAATGATTCAATACTGTTCATAATTCTTTCTCATTTGTTTTGCTTGAGTGGGGTTTTTGATCTTCATTTCTCGGCGATTGTGTTTGTACATACTGAACATAGAAGATGCATGTCTGGAATGTGACACCACCGTATTTTGCGCTAAATATTCGTTCTTACTTTCGATGTTGGTTAACTTGTATCGATCAGTTTTACTACTGATTGAGTCAACATGAACAATATCTACAAATATTGATTGTCGACGAGTTTCAGCAGTTTGGATCGGAAATGTATCGAATGCTGTCACAAATGTTTAAGTTTTAAGAAACAATATCCCCAAAACTGAAAAATATCAAAGTGAAATGAACAATGATGCCATCGTTGATGTAGATGAAACTAAAATCCTTTTGACAATCTGATTGTTTGTTGTTGTTTAACGACGCACTCATCAATATTCCAGCAAAATAGCGGTTGTCGTTACATAATTGAGTCTGGACCAGACAATCCAGTGATCAACAGATTGAGTATCGATCAACAAATTGAAATATTCACTGGATAGGGACTCTTATCCGAGGCTTCGAATTGTTCCGTTAAAACACATGAATAAAAATATACGAAATAACGAACCAAGAGCATGTACAACGCCTAGAGATCTACTCTGAAAGGATACAGACTGATAAGAAAAATGTAATCGTCAGCATTAAATTGTTAAACGGCAAAACTTGCGAATTGACCAAAGGTACATTATCTAGAAATAAAGTTACTTCTGTTGTCTGTGTTGCCTACGAATATATTTCGACTGACGATAGGAATATAAATGTCACATATTGAAACAAAATGTGGTGTCATTTTGGTGAAGAAAGCTAAGGACAAACACGTTCCTACAGTGTTTCTTCCAACACATTCCTGCAAAGACAGGGAAGGCAATTAATTTACTTACTCCGCTGATCAGACAAGAAAACCCGCACAAAATAACAAAACTCATATTGATGAAAATGTAGAGACCTTTAATATGACACTCAGGTATAAAGAAAGTGAGGATGTTGTTCTTCCAGTTGACACGCCTGAAGATATAGGGATCGTTGGAATAATAGATTACTTGAATTAACTGATGCAAAATCAGCCTCATTTCTTGTTAAACTGTTCAATATGTCACTCCCGATGTCAACATTTCCAGTAATTCAGAAAGAGCCATAGCAATAAAATAGGCTTTAAAAATAAATACTTGATGTATAAACCTGTGGCATTTAGAATGAGTGAGTGAGTTTAGTTTTAATCCGCACTCAGCAATAATATGTATTCCAGCTATATGGCGGCGGTCTGTAAATAATCGGGTCTGAACCAGACAATCCAGTGATCATGATCATCGATCTGCGCAATTGGGATACGATAACATGTGTCAACCAAGTCTGCGAACCTGACCACCCGATCCCGTTAGTCGCCTCTCACGACAAGTATGGGTTACTGAAGATCAATTCTAACCCGAAGTATCGTGTATCGAACAAAATATTTTTGAGCATGTTGTCCATTACTTTAGAAATAAAAAAACCCTGTTGATTACATGAAAATCTGCCCTTATGCCAGTTGAGTCCACCTACATTGTACAAGTCAACGTATTTGTATGTAAGACAAATATGTATAATTATATAAATGGTTCAAGCGATACTTTATGATCAAAAGACTTACAGTTGTACTAGACGGCAGTACGGCCACCAGGATCAGTCCTGGCATATACTAGGGGTGGGTATCGCAGAGAATTTTTATATTGCGATTTATTGCGATGCGAAAGCATGTATTGCGATATGTATTGCAATATATTGCATGAAGTATTTTAAAACAAAAAAACTACTTATAATCTAGGTAATGCTTGATTTATAGAGCAAATACACAGAAAATCACTATGCTTCATTAAGCTTTTATAACAACTTTTATTCATGATTAAAAATAAAAATGTGAATAATATTTGGCACAAATGAAAAAAAGGAAATATCCGAATGCAAGTCAAAATACCGGTTTTCGATCAGCGTATCGCAATACGTATCGTTTCCATGTCTGAACAGGTAAATACCGGTAAACCGGTTATATTGCACAACCCTAGCATATACACCATTCATTAAACATATTTTGCACCATGACAGCAAGATATGTGCTAACGATATTTCAGTACATGCGTCTGTGGAAAATCCGGCCAATTCCACAAATTTCTGTTTGGACAGACAGAAAGTTAAATGCACAGTCAAACAAAACCGGTTTACCCACAATATAACTCTTAAGTTGTCACAGACATTTGACACGCAAAACAGTGGACAAAATTGTACAGCAATATTACAGTCTCCCTGAGCTTGCGAGTGTTCTGTTCGAACCGAATCTTATTTTGAAGGAATGACAAGAACACCCACCATTAAATTTCACATAGGGATCTTAAAGAACGAATCACCAAGGGTTTTAGCGTCACCCATGACCAAAGGATGATTGCTCAGCTATTCGACTCAACTGTCTAAAAAGTATGATTTTAGTTTGTGTTTGTAGTTTTACGCTGCACTGATCATTTTCCGGCTTTTTGACAGCGGCCTGTATCTAATGGAGCCCAGACAATCCAATGATTAACATCATGAGCATCGATTCACGCAACTGGGAATCGATAACATTCGTCAACCAAGTCATCGAGCCATCCTTGACTTGCATGGGAAGATGAAGATCAAATCAAACCCTGGTGTCTATGAATTTAGATATACTTGTGAAGCTGGTTTTCCATGAAATTATGCACGATCCATTGAATATGTTTGATATCGGACTTACAGTGTCGCACCGTAGATCACAGTGCTGTTGGCGTCAATTATCCCCATGAGCTTTATTTTCTACTGTGTCACATTTTCAAGCCCTCAATACTTTGATAATCTGGTTAACATTGTTTGCTTTTAAAACCATATACATAATTACACTATAACCATTTGTAATATGCACAGTTGCGTGAACACACATGTCGAATTTGCATTCACGTTATCACAAGCTGCATATCTCTTGGAATTTACGTTGTTAAAATGCCTTTCATGTAATGTACACACTGTCAGAGACAGAAAACAAACATGCCAATAAATTCTAATTATAACTCAATTCGATTCCCTGTTAAAAGCAAAACATTTCATACTAAATAGTTCTTGATATGGGTCATGCAGACTGTGTATCAGCTGATATATAAATCAGACTTCTAATGCATAAAGTGAGGAAAACATGTGATACATGTAATTTAGCAAATTGTGCCACCATAAAAAGAAAATGAATCCCTACTGATGCAGATGTCTGGATAGTGTAAATGTAAAAGAATGTTCATTGGCACATATTGCTGCAAAGTTAGATGATCAGAGGTTACAATGACTTTAATAGAAGTGCTTCCGGGTTCACAATTTTGAATTGGAAGGCATACAACCTGAGGGCGTAGATGTGCATGACGAATTGCAGTGTCACCACACAATGTAAATTGGCTAAGTTTGGTAAGGAAGCAAAAGGTCTGACACCAATGGCTCATACCTAATAGTTTTGTCTTATTACGTGTAAAAAGTTGCTTTTACAACATATTTATATCTAGGAGTAATCTTTGTAAAGTAAAGTAGGTTAGGTCATGAGAATATGACCAAACGTGATTCTAATCCGATATGCCGGGCTATTGGATCCATGACATTTGACTTATACTTATAAAGTGCCAAGTAAAGATCGGTATGTTCATCATGAACGGCGATCTTTACAAATGGTCAACGTCATCCCGAGTGGGTGTGAGTAGCCACACACAGATGTTTAAGCGGTCGTTCGTTGCGCCAAAGGTACCTGTTCAATTCCCCTCATAGTTATCTTACGGGAAGCCTGTTTCTTGTGTCTCCTGTCGTGATAACACCAGAATAGTTTATAAATAAAGACCAGGTGTAATTCAAAATTATCCTCAAGCTGAAACTATCGAGTATGGTACTGACAACAAACCTAGAATCGTGTCGAACCGGGATTAGAAGTTACATCCACCCACGCACACACGCACGCACACACATACACACATACACACGCTAGCAAAGAGAAACACAGTTGAACTACGTTTGTTTTGCAGTGTTAATGCCTCAGGCCAAGTGAATTTGTACTGTGAACGTTACTAAAAGCTTATTGTAAGCCATACAAACATTCATTCAATAAGCGTTAGATTGTGATTTCTCTAATGATAATTTGTCAAAAATAAAACGCTAAACAAAAACACAAAACACAAAAGATAGAGAAAACCCCAGACATAATTAAAAAACAAACATTGCACACACGCACACGCACTTTCAAAAGACAACGGAACTTTTCTGCCCCGCACTTTCACAAGCAGAAATCAGAATTGACTTCTTGCAACCATGTGCATTATGGTTCTTTAATCACTAGAGTGTTAAGCTCTTGTTATTCGCAGAATTGAACAGATGCGGTGTTATGTAAGCAAGAGATGGGTGGTGTCTTTAAGATTTACGGTTTACGTCGGCAGATTAGATTCAGGAGCATTAAATATTTGCTTGTCGACATTTTAATCTTCCTTCCTCATTGAACATAAAAATGAAAATTCATTTCACAAAAGCAAAATGATTATTCCAGAGCACTATACATTCGCTATCCTTGAACGTTCGAAATTCCGTTGTCAGTTTTCATATCTTTCGGATATTTATTCTGACCACCAATATCCTATAAAATGACGACACATCCACATAAGGAACCAGCGTTGACTGGATTCGACACGGACATGACCAGGATAAACGTATAAGAGAGATAAAACAAATGTTTGATGTGGCCGAGAGAAGCGCCCAAGGTCAACGTCAGGACATTGAGAAGCCACATCACAAAGTAAGGCTATTATTATACCGATCAACTTCTTTTATTCTCAGTTCTCTTTGGCTTGATAATATCCATGACACTGATGAAAGCAGGACTCAGATCTTCTGAAAAAGTTGATATTAAAACAAACACTAAAGCTATTTCACATGGATTTAATAACCTGGTTAAAATCGGTAAAAATAATTGACCCAAGACCTTCCAAAAGGCTTAATACTTTTCATCTTATTCAATTAACTGTAGAATAAATATTGCTTCTCTATTTCCGTGAAGGATGGTTTATGTCTGTTCTCGCTACGAAGAAACTGTTACAAGGGTGACCTTTTGTCCAAATATGACCTTGAGTGAGTGAGTGAAACATTTGTGATGTAGGAGGTGAGGTGAGGTGAGGTGAAATTGGGTTTTACGTAGTGCTTGAGAATATTTCGCTCATATGACGACGTGCATGCGTGTGTATGTGTATGTGCGGCTGCTTGTACTAGCCCAGACTGAAGCTGGTTTTATAGTGCTAGCCCACTGAGATACCATGCCGCAGTGAAGCATGAATACCCAACTCAGACACATTATACTGACTCCGAGCAGACCAGTCCTTGTTGTACCCATTAATGCCGAGCGCCAGGCAGGGACCAACAAGTACCATATTTTAACGTCTTTTGGTATGACGCGGTCGGGGATCGAACCCGCGACCCTCCGCTCTCCAGGCGGACGCTCTAACCACTACACCGCGTAGGCGGTCTTGTGATGTAGGATCGATTCTTACATGAATTGAAAAGTCAAAATATGGTAATCTGGCCAAGAAGCTGAATTTGAGCTTCAAACATATCGATGGTTACGTATCGTTCAATAGCCGTCACAGAAATAAGGTAGCATGGCGAGAGTACCTTGTTTTTTGCACATAACTATTCAGAGAGATTCACCATGTCATGATACAAGGTGTTCAAGGAAAAGGGAGTGTATTCTTCTCTATCGGTAGAACCTGTCGCAGGTCAGTTGTTCACCAGAAAGCATACTGGAACAAGTGTGGTTTTGGAGAATGTTGACAAACCATCCGCTGTGGAATCTTGGATTCCAACTCAAGGACAGAGTGAGTGAGTTTAGTTTTACGCCACTTATAGCCAAATTCCAGCAACATCACGGCGGGGACACCAGAAATGGGCTTCACACATTGAACCATGTGGGGTATCCAACATGGGACTGTGACGTGACGAGCGAACGCTTTAATCACTAGGCTACAACCCCCCCCCCCCCTCAAGAACAGAGAACCCTTACCATTTTGAACGCTATTATAGTAGACATTGCAATCAGATATTAAATACAGTTTAAAGAAATTCTCACGTAGATGGCCATATTTTCGGTAACAATATGCCATTATGTCGAATGAATGTCTATTTTTTGCATTTATATGGGCACAGTATGTTTGTGTGTTTCCAACGGGACTTTAAGGTATTTGTTGGAATGGAAGTGGGCTTGTGTTTTATGGCTTCACTTAAGATGGATGGCCATTGTTTGACTGTTTGCCTGAAAAAAGATTGCTTCATCTAAAAAAGTACAATCGTTATGATGCTAATTGGTGGGATAGAACTGCTTTCAGATTATTGGGGCTTTTCTTCCATAATTGCTCAGACGTGATATTTTATTGCATTTGGTGAAATACAACAGGGGAACGAAGACATATATTCATTGTTGTGTCACGACTTTTACACTAGGTATGGAATCGAATGCTTCCGTGTTGGAGAAAATGATTGAAATTGTCAGATAAAAGTTATAGAGCAGAGGAACGCGGTTTTCTTTTGAATATCGGAAAACGTTCGACGTATTCAAGTGATGAATGTACTTTATGTTCCCGTATTGATGCATAGGGTTCATGAATATAATTACCCCTCATCACCTGTCTTTGTTTCCCTTAAAGATGTGTAACAAGTCTTCTTAATCAGATAATAAAATCATAGTCATATGTAGTTTGTAACAATAACTGTTGTTTCCGCTCTTTCTGGGCCATAAGACCTTTACTCTTCTACATCATTGTAATGATCTGAAGCATATTTATTTTTGAACCAACTACTCCCGTGTCTAGTGAATGAATGTAAATAATGTAACTCTTATTTGTAACTACATTACAGAGAACCCTATAAAATGTTATATTTTGCGAACCTTGCCAATGACTATGAGCATTGCCAGTGACTGCGATATTCGACTTTGATGAGGTTAGAATGTCTCAATGTCTGAAAGCCAGGTTCTGAGAATACTCAGCATCCATATAAATGTCTGTATAGATGGATAACCCCGTATAACTGAAACCGCTTAAGTACGTCCAGTACACGAGTACGCTCAAATAGACGAGTACCTTCTGACATTGCAGCAGGTCACGAAGTTAGGAAGGAATTACACAAAACGTAATTGCATCATTTCTCTTGGGTAAAAAGAGCACTTATGTATGTACAGAAATCCGGTTATCAACTTGGGAATGGAACATTTCTTGTTTATTGAATAGACTTGTCTGTGGCTCTCGACGTGCCTTTGACTCGGACATTCTATTGGCTTCCCACCAGCAGTCTCCATTAACCCGCACACAATCCATTTTCTCAGTTTTGACATCACGTAATGCCCTGTAGGATTCCTGTATCCCCTGGTATCAAACACCGTTATACAAATCAGAAACCATCTTTTAGAGTTGGCGCTTCGGACATAATAGACATTGTCTGATATGTAATTAAACGACATTTAGTGAGTTACTGTGTGCAAGTGTATGTAATGTTTTTGTACCTTTATTACTGAAATGAAAGCATTGTTACATGCCACTGCATTGATAAAAGGATTTAACAAGTCTTTCTCTCGCCTCTGGCAACGCAGGCAGTGAAAATAAATGAACCACAAGCTCATTCCAGTTAAATGATCAATAAGGGCTTTATAGATAAAGTGGACCTTAACTTTACTTCCTGGTGAAATGAACCTGATTTGCTTGAGTAAGCTTTAGTAACAAATGATTTTTCCCCATAATTTCAAATTCAAAGCTTTGTCGTCAATATTGTATCCACGTCGGGTTATCAAGGAAACGATGTTAAGATCAACTAACAGTCTCTAAAAGAAATGATCATCTTAGTACTTATAGTCCAAACGACTTTGTAAATAGTTTTCTTTTAATTGTTTTTAACGCCACTCTCAGCAATATTCCAGCTACACAGGCTTGGTTGTCAGTAATAGCATGACCAGACAATCCAGTGATCCTTGGTCCATGTGTATTTCCGTATCAAGAGGGTGATGTCGAGGTGCAGATGGTAAGAGTGAGTGAGTAAGTTTAATTTTTCGCCGCGTTTACAACAATATTCCAGCAATATCACGGCGGGTAACACCAGAATGGGCTTCACATTTTACCCATGGGGAATCGAACCCGGGTCTTCGGCGTGACAAGCGAACGCTTTAACCAGTGGAATACCCCACCGCCCCCGCAGATGGTAAAGATCTGCGACACTCTCACAAAATATGACCATCTTTGTAGTATATGATGGAGGTATGTAAATAATTAAATCTGCACAAGACAATCCAGTGATCAACAGCGTGAGCATCGATCTACACAACTTGGATACAACGACGTGTCAACCAAATCAGCGAACCTCATCACCTGATCGCGCTAGTCACAGTCATGGGTTGCTGAAGACCAATTCTAGCCAGGATCTTCACATGTCCATTATTATAACTGACTCATTAAAGAGTATGCTTTCATCGTAAACATACTGACCACCTGCCAGTTATTCAATTCATTTAGTCGCCTCTTACGACAAGCATGGGCTGCTGAAGATCAGTTCTAGCCAGGATGTTCACGGGTGTACTTTTCTGACATCAAGAGAGAAGTTTATATACATTTTGTCCAATCAATGATATTTAAAAATAGAACTGGTCTTCAGCAACTCATGCTTGTCGTAGGAGGCGACTCAGGGGATCGGATGGTCAGGTTCGCCAACTTAATTGACACACGCTATCGTATCCCAGTACGCTTAGATTTGATGCTCGATTAACTGCTGATCACTGGATTGTTTGGTCTACCCTCGATTATTTATAGACCGGCGCCATATAGCTGGAATAAGTGCTGAGTGCTTACCAACTAACTATGCCTCTACACATGCTAGAACCATGCCAACACCACGCCAGCCTTGAATGCCAGCACTAAAACCATACTTGCCACCAGCGCTTCCACATGCTAACTTACAGTTCACACATACGACTATCTCTCTCACACAGCAAGTCGTTACCATGCTTAGAAATCACATGTGCCTATACCTTTACTCGATTATATCACAGTCACCCAATATCCAGACAGTGTTGATCATGAGACTTTGATACCTGGATTTATGAATTTTCTTTGGAAAGTAGTGTCGTACAACAAACAACTGACCCATGACATCTATCTCCGCAGTTATCAACGTTACGAGTGTCTAGAAGTAGATAGTTACGCAGGTCATGTTTACAACATATGATCATTAATCTGGAGATCACCATAAAATATCAGAAAATGTTCATTGGCATTCACTTTAAAGAAGCAGGTATAGTCTGTTTGCAGTGAAAACGTACCGATGAATTTCACTTTAAACAAAAAAGTAAATCAAATAAAGTGAAATTAAGACTGCGAATCCTCAAAGAATTTGCCTCGCTAACTGAACATTTAAAATCACAGAATTTTATTCATTGTAGGACAAAAGTTGTTTAACAAACGATCATACATTCAAATCGCTATTATTGGTTTGAATTAGAAGGGGGTGAGCGCAGTAGATGGAACAGTGAAAAAAATGCACGTGCGGTTCGTGATGAGCGTTAACTTAGGGCAACTCTACTTGTTCTCAATGTTTCATTTAATGTGCATACACCCTTGCAATACAAACCAATAATAGCGATTTGAAACTATGATCGTTTGTTAAACAACTTTTATCCTAAATTGAATAAAATTCTGAGATTTAAATGGTCAGTTGGCAAGGTAAAATTATGAGGATTCGCAATCTTAATTTCATCTTATTCGATTTACTTTTTTGTTTAAATTGACATTCATCGGTACGTTTTCAATGCAAACAGACTATAGCTTATGTAGTTTCCAAACCAATATGGCCGTTACAGGTGCAGTATTGACTCAACCTGTGTGGTCCCATGGTTCAACAGTTTGACTTACGCTTGGAACTTTCGTGAATACATGGCACATGATGACTCAAGGTTCTTTACGTTCAGACAGTGTTTGGTGGTTTGAAATGTCAAGAACTGTTCTGACAGTCAATACGCAAGAGAAATTATATCATTGTCAGAACAAAAAATGTGGTTTAGGTTTGGACGATGGTCTTGACGATGGTCTTGACGATGGTCTTGACACTGTGTCTGCAAGCTTGTTCGTAACATATGTTTACACAGTTGAAGCAAGGTTGATTCTGGAAGGTTATATATAAACTTCTCTAACGCATGTCAATGTTTTGAGGCGAATATGGACTGCCATGCATCAAGTTCGTGAGTGTGTTGGACCGTTTTGAACAAATGACGAAAATCATAAAGGTTTGAAGTACAAAAACTCAAATCCCGAGGATAATGAAAGTGGGGTCAAAATTAGGATTCTAACAACAGAACTGCGAGTTCTATTATTGCTGAGGAACCGTGCACACTGTGTGTCGCCTGAAACCCACAGGTCACCGTGTTCCAATACCACCTCTTCAGGAAAGCACAGGGCAGACATGGAGGCTAACAAGCGACTAATGGGGCGTTTACATGGTGTTCCAATCATAGATTAACTCTGACATCAGGAGCCAGATGAATTTTCATGTTGCTTGGTATTCCTCTAAGGGATGTCAATGGCCGAAATTGCGAGAAGTACGACATAATGTAACCAGGTCCTGTTGTCGTGCAATGTCACTTCTGTCTGAAAGACGACAAGTTAGATCAGCGACGTGAAACGAATTGTTACATCATTGTATGCACAAATTTAATTTTGGGAAGCCAGGATCAGCGGTCACTGTCAATGTCACTGGCATGGCTGAAAACGACACCCTTTATTGCAAATTCCGTCTCTCTAAAGCCTTGCTCGCCTGTGAATTAATGGCTTCTATTAAATAAAGACAACATGGGGAGTAACAAGTAGCAATGTAGCGCTCAGTTAGTATTTCAAAGACAGATGAACTCTGACTTTAGTAGACAAATGATTTTTTCTAGCAGGAAGGCGTTAACCATGCATGCCAATGTCCATGAACGTATCTGTGAGCTATACGAACAATTTACCCAGTTGTAGTGCAACGTTATTTCTGTCTGAAAGATGTCCAGTTCGATCAACAACCTCAAACGAATTGACAACAAGGTTGATATGATGTGTGCTGAATGTAGTAGTTCTCGGTTTCAATAGACGCCTTGACGTAATGGTGACTTGTGCAAAAATATGATGTTGTCTTTGTGATTAGGAAACCAGTAACTACCCGATTGAGGAACCCAGCAATATTCCAACTATATGGAGGAGGTCTGTAAATGATCGAGTCTGGACCAAACAATCCAATGATCAATCTACGCAACTGGGATACAATGACATGTGTCAACCAAGTCAGCGAGCTTGACCACCCGATCCCGTTTGTCGCCTCTTATGACAAGCATGGGTTACGAAAGACCAATTCTAACCCGGATCTTCACGGTTCAACAGCATTTGATCGAGTAATGGAACAGCAGTTGAGAATGGCGGTAATCCATCCTGCTCCGACTGCTATATTGAACAAATCTCTTTTCCCTTTAGATGGCAGATTTTGTGGTGTGACCAGTGCAAGCACATGAGAGACAAAAATATACAGCTAGAGATTTGCCATCAGTGAGTGCTTTACCCTTGTTCGTGCCACGCCCCCAATACAACCCCAAAAGTATTTTCCGTTAATGGAATGACAATGACAAGCATGTCCTGTGTCTACGTGACAACGTACAACTAGACTTGCTTCATTGTGTCTTTTCAACTTCAGTAAAGGGCAGAGCGGAAGAGGACATGCCATGGACTGTGACATATACTACGTAATATCATTTGTTACTGGTTGACATGACATGCTTACCCTTTCTGAGAACACCTGGTGTCATCACTGATTTTTAGTGATCCATTCACATAATTTTCAAAGCTATTTCTCCCTTTACAGCAAAGAGAAGTTGTTTCTGAGGGTAGTCAATACTGGGAATTCTTTTGCACTGACGTTTTATACGTGCATAAATGCATGCTGTTACTGAGTCAGTACACATGTGTAAGTGGTCCGGTTTTGTCCATAGTCTTTGATCGTACATTTCCTGTGACAGAGATGAGAATATGATGATCCTACTGATCTGTTACGGTTATAAAGTCGGTGAAGTTTTCAACGCCTTGTCAGATATGACTATTGATATTTCATACCCTTTCCAATTTCACCTACTATTGAATAATTAGCTTCATGTACTTGAGCTTGGGGTGATTCATATGAACAGGTGCAATTAATAATACAGACATCACGTATTTGCTTACAGTCTGATATCCAGACTTGTTATGACATTCTGATAATGCAAGCTGCACGCTGTACAACGTGTGCAGTGCAACCATCAATAGATAGAATCAATGAGGGACGTATGCAGTTATCAACGTTATTCAGCTCTCTAATACCTAAACAACTCACGTTGACAAAACGTAAGATTAGTCTGAGGCCAGATGAAAATGGGAAAGGTTAATTAACTGATGCATCTTGGCTGGTTATTATCCATATTGACGAAATGTCCAATGTCGTGTTTTAAATGAGTATGAATCACCCATACAGCGATGGTCTAGTCAGAGTGGACATGAACTGTTCGGCAAGTTAGACATCGAAGATTTAAGTTATTTACTCAGTTGCATATGAGCCATGTGTCATATGTTATTCTGATGCCTAAGGAGTTTTAATGAACAATGATATGGAGGCATATGCCTGTGATATTGATTCGGAAAGAGAAGAGGATTCAGTGACAGTATTGAGAAGTATAGGCGAGAAACCCCTTCGATAATCACTTGAGATATCTGCAAAAAGCACATGTTATTGTACCATAAGCATGTGTTCAGAGTGTTCAGAGAGAGAGGTGGGCTTAATTTGCACCACAGGGTCCAGTCATCACTTAAGCCGTTTAAAACATCTGTCTGCAACAGGAGCTAAAAGAGTCAAATGGTTCGAAAAATTAAAACAAACAAAAGTAATTTAATCTCACATGCAGACAGTCAACAGGAACGACGAGGCAATGTTTAGTTAAAATATTGACCAAAGAGACTGCATCTTTTCAAAGTTCCAAAAGCAACATTGAAGTCCAATTTCCCTGAGAGTGTTCAAGAAATGCCCATGAAACTGAAGAAATGAGCATCAGTGATATACAAGTATGCATACACGCCATCCAGACAGTCATTGTATTCACTATAATGATGCTTTTCACTTCATGGGGCTATTTTAAAGTCTAACAGTGGTTCAAAGACTTCAAGATCCCTAGAGACGCTTCCATGAAGATTTCGATCGCCAATAACCTATTCACATTTTGCGCGCCTGACACCATCATCGTCGGTTGAAATTCCAGATTTTTCCTCATCATAAAGAAGTATTTTTAACAAAGGTATCCTCTTCCAAAAAAGAGACGCAGATGCGGGTTTCAGATGTATACTTTATGTATTATATAGCAATCAACAGATCACGATAAAGTGTTCAAATTTGGCTGAAGTCATTGTCAAACAATTCAATCTGTCATGAGGTTGTGGTCAAGGATTCAAGGAATAATGGCAATGACATTAATGACCTATTTATATGTCTGAATGCAGACATGCTTCAAGTCATATTCAGGATTGACATTGTCGATGGAGTCAACGGATGATGTAGTTAGGATGGATTCCATGAGGGTTACAGTGCTACTCAGAAATGCCCTCAACGTTCATTATTTAGATACTTCTGTTCATTGAAGACACGGTCCCCAACAACTCTTAGTCTGAACTCGGTGACATTGTGTTCAAGTCAATAATGGTTTGTGACGCAGGACGCGAAAAACAACTATCTCCTCTATAACACCTCACTGGGGTCAGATGAAGTCTGGCATCACGTTTTAAAACAGTGTCAACCTCTGCAGTAAATCTATGTGGTCAATATGTAGTGAGTTGGTATTTGTTCATATCTGAAAAAGTAACTTCAGTCAAAAGTCCCAACAGTGTTTTTGAGCTTTCAACAGATTTGTCCTGGATTCACAGCCCCATTTAAATCAGTACAA